AGAGCGGCGGTCGGCACGAAGGCACGAGACCGACGAAAGCTAGCCTTCACGCAAGCAGCGACAGACTAGTCCCAATGACCAAGTTATACATTAGCAATCGAAGAGAGATACAACGCTATGGTCACTCACCTAGTCCCAATGACCAAGAGGTCGAGATGGGGACTAGGGAGCGCCTAGGGGGGGTCCTTATATACTAGAGGGGCTGCTTAGCAACCAAGGACAAGGCGCGAGAGCGAGGCAGTGAAGATGACAAAGGGGGAACAAAGGGCGAGAAAGAAAAGGCAAGGGCATGGCGATCACGGGAACGTATCTACAGTGTCCAAACTGGGATGAGCTAGGAAAGGAAACGGTCCGGAAATGGAAGGTGGGCGTCAAAGGAAAGGGAATGGGCGGCAAAAAGGGGCGTCTGTCCAACGTCCGTGACACCTGCGACGTTCCCTTCACCGGCACAGTCAATCATTCGATTCAAGCTGGGAGCCCTGGAACACAGAGGGTGGCAATTCGTTCAATGCCGCGGCCCAAATGCTCACTCCTAAGTCGACTCGAGCTCGAACGTGTCGCTATTCTCCCGCCAATCATCACCAGCCTCTGCCCCTGCCTCCTCAGTTCTTGAACTCCTCGTCCTCGCCCCATCTCTTTCTCCTTTGAATTCCCTTTGATTCTTCCTTCTCTCCATGCTCTATGTGCGCTGGCGACTCGCAACACTCCACTGTGTTGCTGGGTCGCTGGTTAAACGCTCCGCTGCCAGGGATGGATGTTGAAATGGGATTATTCTGACCCATATCATCACTGCTTCTCCGGTGATGATGGCATAACACGGGCACCTACTCACGGCGCTGTACGTCAGATGCTACTCCGTTCATCTCGGTTCATATTGACTAGTTTCTTTCAGCAATTGTCGACAGGGCCTACTTGCAGCAATCCTTAGAACGCCCTTGAACATATCCTGCATTGTCAGCTATTTGACACCGATGGCACAGACTGCTGCTTCAATTTTCGGGCCAGCTTTATGGTCAAAAATTGCTCAGCATGGCTGACCCGCAACCTCATACATTCCTCCCGTCTTCTCCTGATCCAGACGATGCGAACTTCGTCATAACCACAGCACACTACATGCACTCAGGTATCAGCCGCCCGCTGGTAGTACGTCCACCTGATAGCGGTTGACGTTTGCCCTGCGTCTCACTCGGGCTCGTTCTCGCCACCGCTGCCACACCTTGCCACGGTGGAACGAGGCGGGCGAGCCAACACTTTTTCCGTCAAGTTGTCTTTCGGGGACGGGCAACCCTGACTGCGCGGAGTAGACATGTCGCATTTCTGAGCCTCTGACTGCTTAGTCTTCACACCGTAGTGCTTTAGATTTCCAGGGGCTGACGTGGTATCGTACACAGCATGCATCGGTATCTACCAGGACTTTCTTTGCTGCCATCGAGAATTGAGGTGCGTGCCCTGGATTCTCCTCTGCACTCACCTCTACATAGGCGCAATTGTGTGATGGCATCTTGTCTCGCAACCATGATTGAACGATAGGTACGCTTTGAATCATTGTGCATCAGTAAACCGTGCAGTCCCTTAATGACTTAGCGCCTTAGGCCACTTAGCTCTCCTGCACGTAACTCGAAGTTGCTCACCCTCAACTCCATAGAGTGTCTTTTTGCTGGAGCACAGAGTAAAGTAAAGGACCATTGAAAGCCTGTACAAGTGTTGTGACAGGGGCAAACGTGCCCGATGACGGCGCAGAACGTTTCCGCGCTCGCTCAACTTAATGGTCTTAATCGTGCATCTTAACTCTTACGACTTACCCACGCTTAATGACAACTTAGGCGCCTTAATGCCCTTAAAGGCGACTTTAAGGGGCGTTAAGTGATTACCGGTTTTCCTGATGACTGGTGGCTGCGTTTGGGCGCATACTTCCTACGTAGTCGTGCGTTGTTTGAGTTGATAAATATGAATGTCTGAAGCTATTTAGCCACTGCCCTGTGGTGATGTATCAGAGGCCGATGTATGGCTGCGTGCCGTCCAGAACAACCCCCAGGAAAATGAATGCCAACAGGCTCAACGCGCAGCACCATGCTTTCATCGGGAGGAGATAGGTCTATCTGAGTGTCCAGTATAGACTCGAGTTCACCATGTATCATGCTAACGACTATCCAGGATTTCGCCCATCTCTATGAGTTTCTCTACATAGGACTGGTATGAGCAATGTGACGCTGAATGCCCCAGCATCAGCCAGAAACAAGCGCCTGTATCTGACTTATGCCGACGCTTCATCTCCAGGCTTGGGATCGCTGGGAGTCTTCCCTGATTGACTGAAACCTCTGCGCTATCTAGCGGGTATCTATCATCCTTTTCAAAGCTCCGAGACTGGTAGGATATTGCGGTTGTCATTATGCGATAGCAAGTATATCCCAACCTCACCAGCACCACAACCTCAAATCCACACAAACGCTCTCTTTATCTGGGCACTGTCTGATTTTCCTCGTCTTAGGCATAATCTGCGCTGGGGAGGGTGGACGAGTCCATCTGTGTTGCTATGACCATTTACTATCGAGCGTAAAGCCCATCGACCATCCCTTTACGATGGACGTCACTTTGACTCACGCCTTCTGGATTCTCGCACTTCACCAGAAGCACTGTATGGACGGTGAGCACGCTCACCGACTTCTAAAATTGAGAATCAATGTGACCATGTGCAGCCAGTGGAGCCTTACTCGGACGTCGACGGATAGAAGTCCGTCTCTGACTTCCTCGGCATCTCAACATATGCGGATAGCAATGCCCCTTGTACATCCCATAATAGTCCCAGACATAGCGCGAATCTGGGTATATGTGCGCAGTCAATCTGTGCGCATTGACTCCAGCGGGGAAACTTCGGGATGTCGGCACGGTGCTTGCTAGTTCTAACAAAGGTGCTGCCATTTCAGGAACTATGCAATTGCGCATGAAATCGCTGACCGGACATCCCTTGGCTGACGAGTCTTGACCAAGACTCGGACCTCATACGCATATATGATCTGATATTGCGTCTGGTGTGGTTACCGACTACCTGCTCTACCGGCCGCGCTCTAGTCGCGCATTTCTGGGCGCTCCGACCGACGGTCTTCTGCCTGAGTTAGAGATTCGCCGTGACTGCTGGACGCGCTTCTCAAGCAAATTTCCTGATCTTGCGCAGCAGGATGTCCGCTTCCGTCGCTCACTTCCTACTTGTCCAGATATGTCCTCATTCTGCCCAAGTGAGTCAGTGTCCTGCTAATTCTCTTCGTAGACGGGATCCACGACAACGCGGCGCAGATTGCTCATCCTCCGCTTCTGTCGGTCTGTCTCCTGTGATTCGCGCCAGCCTAACAGACTGTGACGGAACTGCACCTTCTCCCGGGACACCTCCTCACCGGTGTGTCGCACGGCCAGCCACCGTGGGCCGTCGTGGCCGCGAAGGCGTCATTCAATGCCAAACGGCGTCGGGCCCCATACTTCGAAACCTTGGCTCGCGCCCTCACCGCGCCTCCTCGCGGGCTCGCACGCCTCTGGTGGCACGCGGCTGTGCCACCCAGTTGTGTGACCCTGTAGGCTTGTGTGCGCTCGCTAGGCCTGCCAGCGCACAGCTGGTCCCGGTCCCCCGGAGTCCCGCATCCGCATCGGGCGGGCGACTCATGTGGATTTCCCTCCGTACGCCTGCCCAGTGCCCACCATCTGAGATCCCAAGCTGGCGAGGCGCCCTCGGAAGGGCGCAGGACAATACAGCGTGCGGGAAGAAGCGAGCAGAACAGGCCGGGGTATACGTTCTCCCCTTATCCTTGCGTCTGCAGGGCTTCCGTGGACCGCTGCACAGCCGCGCTGATGAGCTGGCGTCCATAGACCGAGATTGTCGAGATTGGGGAGTCAAGATTGAGCTGCACCGGTGATTGGTCCATGGTGGTTCCATATGTCACGTCGCCGGTGTTGGACATGTGCCACAATAGACGCGATGCATTTTAACCTTGAAGCGCCCCCGCAATACACATGTCAGTCTTCTCGGCTTGTGGATAGGCAGTTGTCACGTTGGCTAGTGGATGCCTTGCCATGCGGATGTGCTGGGAAGCCATGTCGGACCAGGAAAGGAAACGGAGGTTACAGTGTGAGATTGGTTGTATTAGGAGTACAGTGCGTTGCGGACGTGTCTAGGGATTGGATATTGCGGAGGATGGTGTGTCTCAGAAGAGCTACGGGATACAACAGGTTGTAGCAACGACAGCTATTACAGGAAGCGGTTGCACGAGAAAGACGGGACTAGATACAGGTAAACAAGAGATCGCAGCGCAGAGAGATGACAAAGGCCGTGACGAGTAACTGACGAATACATATGCAGCATTGCGAGGTAAAAGTATGATATTCACGTTTCGAGCAAGGAGCCAGGTCCAAGAACACCACTAATCAAGTGTTCGGCCTTTTGAGCACGAATTATACCAGATGCACTGGTTATTGTAGGTTCGAAGGCGGCATGTTTCCTATTGATTGCGCATGTTTGTCAGACGAGATGTCCCGCATGAAGCGCCAGAATTGCAACTCACCAAACATGGAGTATTGGTCGTACATCGGCTGCTGGTGCCCGTGGTGGTCGCTTGTCCCAGGCTGCGCGCCTCCGTGCTGAGACACGATCTCGCTCGTAACAGGCACACTGTAGTTGGTCTCCATCTGGCCGAGCGCCGAGTAGTCGTTCCAGTACTGCGGGTACCGCTGGCTCTGCCGTTCCGAGCTCCGGCCCAAGCTCGACCCTATGCGCTCGTCGACGAGCCCAGTGCTGTACGTCTGCGGCAGCACCGATGTCGAGATGCTGGAAGGGAAGCTCGCGAGCGACGATGAGTCTGTCGGCCAGCGGTCGTACGACGGTTGCAGGTACGAGCCGCTGCTTGGTGGCATCTCCAGCGATAGCGAGTAGCTCTGCTGAGCGTGGCTTGGCGCAGGGGCGGACGCGTGGCCTTGGCTGGTGTTCGATATGGCGGGGTAGTTGGCCTGCTGACGGTAGGCGTGATCCTGGGTGATGATCCGGGAACGGTCTGTGACAGTGACATCCTCCGAATCGACGGAGTCCGAAGCTGTGCGTTTGTGTCTGGGCTCCGAAACGTTGCGCAAGCTGGGGAGCTCCGACGGGCGATCCAGCTGGAGTTTGGCACCTGTCAGGAGCTCCAAGGCGCGCCAGGCACTGGGCCAGATGACACTCATGCGTTTGAGGATGTCCATGCATTTGTCAAGTCCGCTTTGACCTTGCGGGTCATCGGGATATGTCCGCACTGAATACGGGCGCCGTGAGAATGCAAGCTAGAAGGTTGAACATCCGAGGACAACTCACGTGTAGCGACATGCATTATAGCCGCGGTGAAGACGTAATAGCAGAGGAAGACCGATGCCCGATTCGGCGAGTAGGCATCGCAGTAGACGGAGGCTGCAAAATTTTTGTTCCATCAGCGACGAACGCGACTCACTCGCAATGCTGACTTACCGATGCGAGAGATATGATTCGCCGCTTGCACGCACATGTCGTAGTGCTGGCGCGAGGTGACCTGGATGTTGGCCTCCCTTGCGGAGGACGCACTGGGCGACAGCCTGGGCACACTGATGAGTCCATTGTCGCGAAGACACGCTACGAGACGATCACTTACAACTTGGTCGAATCCTGGATGTGTCGAATGAACGGCCTGTGGAGCAGGAGCACCGTACACCAATACTGCATGTGCAGCGTCAGGATGTGTGGCGGCGGTGGCGGGTTCTTCGGCGACGCGGGGTCGAACCGCAAGGACTCCGGCAGCTCGAGGCACCACTTCGTCAGCTGGCTATCCAGCCGAGTAAGCTCGGAAGGCCGGTTCACAGCAGGCTTAATCGCGTAGATGCTCTGGCATATCTGACTCAACACCAGCGCTGCAAACACAAACACACATATGTCAGCCACCCATCGCGATAACCCGAAACAGATACGCATGACTCACAAAGCTTCGCCGACTCGTCGAAACACGACAAGACGTACCCAGGCGCGGGCACGACCTCGCGCTTCCGCCGCTCCGTGTCCTCCGCGTCGAACACCTGCGGCGCCGGGTGCGGCCTCCACAGCTCCGTCTCCTCGCCCTCCTCCACGACGGGCAGCTCCGTGTCGAAGTCGCGCTCGAAGATCGCGACCGGGCGCCCGATGTACGTGCACACGTACTTGTCCATCACCACGCACCCGTACCAGATCCGCCGCCGCTCCTGCAGCTCCGCGCGCGAGAACAGGCTCCGGCCGACGCTCGTCCACTTCTCCGCGCTCTTGTGCAGCCCGAGGTCCTGCGCCATCCGGACGGCCATCCCGACGTAGAGCCACGCCTGCGCCATCGCGCCGATTCCCACCTCGCGGTAGCCGAGGAGGAGGAGCGCCTGGCAGGTGCTGGGCCGCGACGCGGCGTAGGTGCGGTCGAGAATCACCTTCGCGTCCTCCATGTACTCGTCGCCAGCGGTCCACATCGAGCCGTCTTCTGGTGGGGGCGCCGCAGTGCGCGAGGAGTAGCGCGCCGCGAGGGAGAACATTGCGAGCAGCAGGAGGGTCGGTACGCGCCGCCTCGACAACCTGTGCGGGGACGACGCGGAAACCGGGGACGCAGCGTCCGAGTAGACGGACTCGGCCCCTGAGTAGGGCGAGTCCGAGGACATGTTCCCATTGCGGAAGTCGTCCATGAAGGTTCGCTTGTGGACTATCGGGAGTACCGGGTGGACGTAGGTGAAGTACAACTCGAGCAATAGCTCCTGGGTCGCGAGATCGGGCAGCCGAGGCGCGAAGTCCTCGGACTGCCGTTGGGAGGCGCGTGCTGAAGGCGGCAAGGGGGGCCAAACTCTCGCCTTGGGGAACCGCCTATGGAACATGCGCAAGTCAGCAGGTAGGACGTGATTGCTGTCAACGCTGATACTCACCAAAGTCCGCCCTCGTTCCGTCCGTCCTGCCTTTCCTTCACTCCGAGCAGATGCAGCCCGCTCATCTTCCCATGGAACCGCACCTGCTCGTCCTCGTTCAAGCTCAGTTGCCCCACCGCGACCGCCATCTCGTCCTCCCCACTCTCGTCCGTCTCCTCCATACTCTCCTCCCCGGCGGCGCCGTGGCGTATCGGAGAGCGCGACGATGCCGATGACGTCGAGCGCCGCGAAATCTCCGGTTGCACAGCACCGTCCCCATCGAGACGTCTGCGTTGTCTCCGCCCGTCGCTGCTCGCTGCCTGGCTGTCGGCCTCCTTCCGCGCAGATGCACTCGTGCCAGACGGGGGGAGCGCGCTCAAAGGTGGCGAGATGGTGTCGTCCCCTTCCGTGCTCGTCGAGGCGACTTGGCCGTCGGGCAGGAGGGTGTTACGCGTTGCCGCCGCAGTGTTCAACCGACTGATAACCTGATCCTGCCATTCGTTCGAAGGGCTAGCAAAGACATAGTCAGGATAGACGTTCATAGTCACCAAACAGGGGGACTTACTGCGTCGCGTGCACGACATTACCCTCGTTGCCGTCGCGCTGCTCTGGCGGTGGAGGAGGTCGCGCGCGACTCGTCGGCGCCTCCGCGCCGCGGCTGCGCCCTTTGTATCCGTACGGCGAGTTGTCGACACGGTTTATGATTTCTTTCGCCAGCGGGTCCTATTTTTGCACAGCGTGAGTACACACAAGAACGACGACGTCATAAGGATGCAACCCCGGCGCGTATATACGTGCGGCTCGCAGGCCAGAGCAACATGACCGTGCTACACCGAAGCCGCACGAACCCACGAGCTTTTCCACTCCACGCGCTTCTTACAGGCACCCCGTGGCTCGCGGCGGAAAACTCCGCCACATGCACGATCCGCTAGGGTTCTGAACGCGGTGCCGCGCGGCGGAGACGGGATCGTGCGACCGTACCGAGGTCGCATGGCTTCGAATCTCGCGCATATACGCCGTGTATGGAGTGCGGACGCTCACCTCTGCAAGATCCTCGAGCACTCCCTTCGCGCGGCTGTCCTTGCTGCTGAGGAGGATGCCGATGAGGGCTTCGGTCTGATGCAGACGCGCCTCGATCGCGTCGATGTAGCCTTTGGGGGGGCCGCGCTTGCGCGAAGGCCCGAGAAAGGTACATTCTGCGGATAAGAAGGGCTATGAGCTCACTGCGCGCGTCATTGAGTGAGATGAAGACGAGAACGGGCAAGGTTGGCTGCGGCAGGCGCGACAGACTCGTCACTCGAGCAGAGCTTGCGCGACGTGCTCTTAGACGGAGCTCGCGCCCCCCAAACGGGGTAGAGCACGAGAGGGATAGAGCACGAAAGATCAGAAGAAGGCGAAAGAAGCCTGAACTTACGGGTACCGAGCATGACGCAGTTCCGACACGGTTCTTGTGGGCTGCTCCGCTCGCACTTGCACTTGCTTTTCCTGCACTGGTCGCAGGCTTTGCTGCTGCGGCGTCGGACTTGTTTGTCCCCGGCCTTCCCGCCGACGCCCGCGCCGTATGGGGGGAGACCCATACCGCTCAGGCCCGCGCTAGGCAGGTCAGTGAGCTCGTCGCCGCCCTCGTCGTCGTACTCGTCCGCGAGGGTGAGCGCGTGGTGGTGGCTGCCGCCGTTTACGGGGGACACGGGAGAGGGGATGGTGTAGCGGTCGATGCCGGCGCCCCCATACTGGGACTGCGCGCCGTACGAGGACGAGGCGGCGGAGGAGGACGGCCAGTTTTGGTGAGACATGAAGGTGAACGGGGTGGGCGGAGAGGGGTGGGAGGGCGACGCGCTTTGGGAGAAGTCGGCCGCGCCGAAGCGGAAGAGCGGGTGGTTGGCGGACGGGGTGCCGGCGCCTGAGTGGGCGGATGAGGCCGACTTTACGTGGTGGTGGTCGTAGTTGGTGAGCGAGGATACGGGGGGGAGGTCGGATGACTCCTCGACTTTGATGGGTATCTGCGCGTGGTGCAGATGGGTGTGCGCGTAGGAGGGCTTTGGATAGTGGGTCGGGGGAGTGTGCTGCGAGTGCGGCTGGGAGTGGGGATGATGCGATGTTGAGTTGTGCGACTGTTGCTGATGCTGCTGTTGTGGGAGCGCATAGCGCATTGGATAGGACGAGTATGAGCCATGGGTAGGCGAATAGGTCATTACGGTGCACAATGCGCGAGGACGATGTGAGATTGGCGGAGCAACAAAGGATGTTGAGGAGGAAGAAGGGATTAGGCGGCGGAAGGTACGGTAGAAGAACAAGCGACAAGGGGAAGAAAGAGCGGGAGCGAGGGACGGACCAGGAGGAGAGGATATGTGTTTGTTTGGGCGCCAAAGAAGTGGTCAGGAATCGTACAAATGCACGCGGAAGATCGAGGACTTACCGGTGGCCAAATAGACTTTGCGACCCTCGCCTTTCCGTTCTGGAGGCCGAGAGGGAGTAAATTTTACGGAGTCTGGGGTCTGGTTCAGACCGGTGTGGCGGGAGGAGCCTGAGCCTGGCCAGGCTGGCACGCACCGCTCACGTTCCGACACCGCGCGCGGCAGGGTCCCTGCTGCGGCACCCAATGACGGCGCACCCTCAGTCACTGCGTCAGCCTCTTGTCACTGTTCTGTTCCAGCCGCGTGTCACACCCGCCGCTCACCTCAGCACTCCGGCGGACCCCAGAGGCCCCGACGTCCCTGCGCCTCTCGGTGCCGAATCCAAGAGATCCGATCTTCTCACGCCCCCGTCTACCTTCCAGACTCGCTCGTCCGCGGGCCTCTTGGGCGCGCTCTCTGGGTCGCACAGCGGAGAGCAAGTGCAAGGCGTCGTGAACGGCAGCAAGAACAGCAACAGCTCCCCCCCGCCTTTTGCGACCCTCGCTCTTCTGTAATCATCACTCAGCCGAGAACGTCTTCTTTGAGTTTGAGACCTCCATCGCACGTGCCCGCCCTGCCTTGGGTCGATTCTTCTCACCCTCGTACCTTCCGATGCTCCTTACTCCATTCTGCTGGCGCTGCGCAGTCACACGCTGTTCCTCCCCCGGATCCCACTCCAGCGCTGCTCCCTGCCTTCCGTTTACCACATCCCGCGTACGATCCGAAAACTTCAAATACGACTCACTCATCCCCCAGCAAAGAGAGCACATGTCAGCACCGCCCTCGTCCGTTCTCTTCCTTGCTTCCCTTTCCGCGTCGGACCTCTCGTCCTTGCGTTCGTCCCGCGAGGAGCGCGAGTCGGAACGTACCGGAGCGCGTCTCATTTCGTTAGCACCGATTGCCCTCGGCTAGATCACGATAGTCGCCGGCTGCAAACCTCAGAGCGCATGGTCTTGAAACTGTCCCCCAAGCCCCTCGGCCAGCGTCCCTGAGGACCTGGACGCCGACTGCAGCGCGCGACTCGGGCTTGCCCACAATCGCCTCCCGAGGGTCGCCCGCGCGCAGTCTTTGCATGGCGTTTCCGTGTCGCATCGCGCGTCGCTCTTGTTGCGTTTACGAGGCGCCCAGGGAGACCGGACCGGATAGACGCTCTCCGTTGTGGTGCGAACGCCACAGTTCTTCACATAGCCATAGCGCCCCCGCAGGAAGACTGGAGCGCGAGGCTTGTTGTGAACACCACATATGGACTTAGTCGACCACCGCAAGCGACAATTCAATGCGGGTAGCACATGAGCGAGAGGGCAACAGCCGCTTGGCACGTCCCACTGTCAATGTGCTCTGCCAATCTTCGCGAAGCCTGCGACACAACGTAAGTTTGGGTTCTGTCGCATGGCCAACTTCCGAAATGGCTGCAGTCTTTCATTCAGGGCCCCAACTCTACTTGCCAATCTGCGCATGAGCATCGCACATTGTGCCCCCGGTTGGCAGTCCGATCCCTCGTCTGGCTGCGGTTACCGCGCACGTCGAGCTGTTGGCCGCACATAGGGGGCTATCCCTGTTCGGGAGCAGGCGCGCCCTGGACGCGTCCAACCAGGCCCGGCGGTGCCCTGAGCGGTGGCACGGTCGCAGTTGCGGGCAGCACGGGACCGACGTTCCCTCTTCCGGCGATGCGACCCTCGCGCTGCGGCTGCCCTCGATAGCAACGTGTCTGCTTAATAGGTGCGCATCGCTTGCATACGCGAGCCGGCGGCAAGCCACCCCTATCACGCAAGCCACGAGGTGGTGACGCTGAGGTCTCAGATCTGCTCGCCGCTAGACGCGATTCGGGCTTCTGTCATTCGACTTGGCTCGCAGGACTTCGCGCAGCGGCGCATGGAAAGCGGTCTCTATCTGATTAGACAAGGGCCAGGTGCTAACGTCGCTGGGACAGGCCTCCATGATTACCAGTTCCCCCAGAATCAGGATGCTTACTGATGATTACCAGTTCCCTGGTTTGCTTGATAGAATCAGATCCCCCATCCACCCCTTCTTTCCACGTCCCTCTTTCGATCCACCGATCCACCAGACGACACACGAGCGCCATGTTAACGCACAGGGGCCCTCCACAGGTCGTCCACAACCTCCTTGGCCTTGCTTAGTCGGGCGCCAGCGCTGGAGCCCGCCATGCTCGGCTACGGGCCCCATCTCCGCACAGCACATGGTGCACGCTCCCCAAGGTGTTCCTCCGAGCTTCCGAGCCCGACTAAAGTCGAAGTCGAACATCCTGTCGGACGTGCATAATTCGATCGCTTCCGATCGCGCTAGCCCTCTCTCACCCGTTGCGACTGGCGACGCGCCCGGTGACGATGACGGCAGCGGCGAACACGTACCTCTTACGACCCTACGGGGATTACGGGACTTACGGGACGGCCTGGCGGTCAGCAGGCAGGTCAGCCTCCATTCACGTCCATGTGTGCGCGTTGGACGGACGGAGAGAACTCACTGGCTGCGGGTGCAACGATCGGCTTGGCGATCCCTTCGTTCGCGGAGGACTTCCAAGACGTGCGATTGATGTGTGTTATCGAGAGCTTACAGGACTGGAGCTGCGGTCGTGGACCTGCGCCTACGCCTCTTCTTGCGGCTCCTGGGCTTGCTCTGTCGGTGGGTATGTGCGTACATAGGTACAACTTCAGCTCCTACACAAGCTTCACAGACAGGGCACTGAGAGAACGGCGGATGTGCACGTAAGCGACCGATTCCGAATTCAAGAAAAGAGCACAGATCTAGCCTCTTCCGGAGCCCATTCAGGACGCTACTCTTGACGTCCGGATCGCGGCTGACGTGCCCGGCGCCATGGAGCAAGAATGGGCGGATGTAGCGTAGCGAGAGGACCGCATGCGCGTTGCGCTAAACCAACGTCCCCAACTACTCGCTCCTCCCTGCTGCTTATCCGCATCCCCAACAAGTGTCCAACGCAGCGCTCGTCCTCCAGCGACCCACCTGCAGGTCGTATCCACTGATGCAATCCGATGCAGGAGGCCCCAGTGCCACCAACGTTCATAGCGGCGCCACTAACCCAATCCCGCGGTAAATTTAATTTTCGAGAGTGCATCCAGGACGAGATCTCGGCCAATCTGCATCTCTGGAGCGCAGTCGGGCGCCAGAAGTGCCAAATCGAGCCGGACAAATTCGTGCCTTGCGAAAACGTCTGATCGCGATCGATTCGTACCCGTGGTGACTGAATGCAGGGGAGCGTTCCATGGAAGGGTCTGTCGCGGGACGCGAGGGCGATCGATGGGCTGCCGTACCCCGATCGGGCAACCTGCAAGCCTCTCGTTTTCCAACTCTCTGGTCCAAGCTCCCTGTCTTCTCTCCTATGCTGGCCTAGCGTGCGTGTTCGCCGTGTACAGTTAGCTCGTGCGGTGCAGATGTTAGCGCCAGACCGTATGGCTAACAACAGTCATGCTCGGTTACCGGCAACAAGCGTGCCGGTCTGCCCGCCGGCAACGGGGGGCCGGTCACTTCGTCGCAGCATGACCCTGTCCGTAGCTCTCGGGATGCGGCGATGACGAAATGCTCCGCAACACGGACATCCATTTAGTTCAGCGTATTTTCCAAGAGAAGCCATTTGCATGAGCTTCGTCAGAGCCCCAGAAAATTCGAGGCGGTCTGAAACGTTGGACGGAATGGGGGCGCTTAGACAAAATCTGCAGCTATTAGATACTGAGATCTGGAATCCCGGGAACGCCCGAAGGTGGGTAATGCAGTGCTACCGCATTCAGTGCGGCTCGTGGCACAAAATCGCGGACGGTCGGACAGGCCGCAGCGGGTGGGGTCATGACTAAAACGTTCGGGCATTTCGCCGCGCCCTCTAAACTTTACGCTTCGGAGGTTGGTGCCCGCCGGCGGTGAGGGGGCGGAGATGCAAGAGTGTCCCCGGGGACTCTCGTATTTCGAGCTCACGACCAAGGAGCGAGTAGGTCTGGTGTGTTCGAGAGAGGACCAGAGCAAGGGGATGAGGTGCCTTGGATCCGACCGTCAGCAGATGCATGACGGTGAGAGGCGGTGTAAGCACACAGCATTGTAGCCCCCCAGCCCGCTGACGAACGGAGGATTCACTTCAATGAACTGAGAGAAGTCGGACGGCTATGCAGCGGATCGTATGGATGCTAGCGATTCTATGGCTTGGAGCCGAAGAAGATTGCCCGCAGCATCTCACAAACAAACACCGATGGAGTCGAAGCCCTCAAAATTTGCGAAGCATACGTGTGCGCACCTTTAGAGTCAACTTGAAGGCGTGTCGTCCACATCTGACGTCGAGATGCATGAACTTCGTGGTGCGGCTGGATACGTGGACGCACGGGAGGTCGTCGGGCCTGTGCAGTGCCGGATGCCCTCTTCGTCATCCGAGGGGCAAGAGACCCTGTCTGTACCCTGAGCGCGGGGTGGGGACCTCGGAATGAGCAGGCCGCTGGAGCATAGAAAAATGAGGACGTGCCACTCTGACCTGAGCGTTTGTGAGTCCGAGGACATGTCGGCCGTGAGCCTTGTGCGCAGCCTCTGAAATGTACACATTCTCTTCTTCTCTTGCGTCAGTTTCCTCAAGTTGACACCGTCTGATTGCGACGAGACCAAACGCCGCACGCGGAAGGTTTGTTGACGAGACGAGATGAGACGAGAGTAAGTGGCGGACCGGGGCGCGCGTGGTTGGATCGCTTCTAGTGAATGCTCGTCGTTCGTCAAGCCGTCGCGTTGCGAATGTGATCTCTCCCCTGCCAACATGAGGCACGGTGCTATTGGAGGCTCACGGGGAATGACCCTGGACTGGAAGACCGCCAACGTGGCGAGGACGTGCAGGGAAGGGTGGAAGACAAGAAGAAGGCGCGGCTGCAGCGGCGAACCGCTACACAAGGCGGCCGCCTTGTTTTCTTGGCTGTGCTGGTCTGTCAGGATAGCACGAGGCGGCGAGGGTCAGTCTCACGTACATTGCGTGGTTCGCGACGCATTGATGTCAGGGTAGATTGGCGCAGGCTACGAGCGAATGTAGTCAGGTACCGGCCTCGTTGAACCGTGGAATTGACCGCTCACCTGTTGAGAGGACACGGGATCGGTCCGGTGGGTATAACGCTGAACGCAGCGGTGGCCTACGAGGGTGGTTCAGTGCGGGGCGTTCGGCGTGGTCGGGTACTCAGCGCAGAGTCCACAGTGGACACTGACCAGTTCCGCACTGACGCTGCTAGTTACCGGCATGCACCAGTCTGGCCACATGAGTTTCGCCATTTGTGCGGATACTTTTGCCACGCTAAGCCCGGAGGCGCAAACGCCGTAGAAGGCACAACCGCTGGACGCCGAATTGAGACTTATTGGCGTGGCATAGGGAATGGTCGCGGGAGCCCATTCGTTGGAGACAACGGAGCAGCTCGGCTACGGCAGGAATGGCGAATGGGTGCGACGCTGACGCCGCGAAGCCAATCAAGAGACCGTGACACGACATAAATATCGAAGTAGCCTCTTTGGGACGCACGGCAGGGAATCGGATGTTTTCGATTGGAGAAAAGTCGATGAAATGGGGACGCAAAAGGCAACAGCCTGTCGTTTTTCAATGACTTTTATCCAGAAACGCCACATATTCACGGATTGTTTGCCTCGCGCGTCCTCTTTTCAGAGACTTTTCTCCAGCTGGAAATATCCGATTCCCTGCCGTGACGGATGGAGACAGGGTCAGGGTTGTGCCGAGCGGATGAAAGTTCCTGCAACGAAAGACAAACTTCGCATGAGCGCCAAGTCGTCTGGTTTTGGACGAATGACATATCCACGGAAATGCACCGGTCGGTTAGCAGGAAAAAGCGGAGGCCCCTGGTCTGTTCTGAAACAGATCCCCAATGGGCTGCGAGGATAGAATGATTGGAAGACAGTGGACAGTGTGACTTGAGGCGTTGGGGAGCAGTTGCTTCTGGTACGCGGGCCGAGGAAGTCGTGGGGTATCATTGTGGGGAGGAACGGTCCGTTAGCGTCGAAGTGGTGATTGCAGCCGCTTACGGTAGTTATGAAACACGACATCGTGGCTTGGAAGAATGAGACAGGTGCGTCAGAAAGTCAGAACGTGGCTGCGTTTCCTGAAGCTTCGAGCCGTCCAATCCAACCCTAGATGGACACGGACGCACCTTATGGACGATCGGCAACTGGCATTGACAGCGCGCAACATGATGGGGAAGACTTCGATCTCTGTAGGCGACGGCGTGGCGGATACGAGTAGACAGGTGGGGACGCTGTGGCTTGCCGTGACAGAGGCGGTAACGGCAGCAGTTTCATCCTCCATAGATGCTACTCGATGTAGCGGCTCGCGTCGGCTGAAATTGTGCCTTCTGAAGGGTGCCAGGGGGTGCTCTCTGCAAAGACCGCCTGCGACCTTTCGCAGCATGCTATTGGCCATCCAAGGTCAGATGATGATGATACAGACCAACCTCCCAGCTCCCTGTGAATACGCGAGGTGTTCAAACGGAGACATCATTAGGTGAGAAGTCATCTCAATACCAGGAGCGATCCCGCGACGCCTCATCGGAGGAGCGCTTGCACTGGTGTCTAGAAGTGATAACAAGGCCGAAGGACGTGTCAGCTTCGATGCGAACGCAAGCGCGACCGGCCGATCCTCCAACACGTCAAATCGCGGCTAGTTCACCGATGCATTTGTCAGCGTACATAATAGCCTTCTATCAGTCGTAGCATACATTACCAATGACCGTCACTTGTGATAAGCGCAAAGGCTGCGTCCAGCCTGCGGTCATCTGTGTGCATACTTCAGATAACACACAATTAGTATTTCGCTGCGATGACGTTGAGTGATTAGTCAGTTTTCTTTCGCCAAGCGGGAAAGTTTCGAAAGGTGCATGGCTTGTAGTGGGAAGCTCGGAAATTTGAACATGCGTGAAGTACCATATTACTGAGTGTGTGGACAGCCACTGCCCGCTCGGCG